GGTGGTGGCCCCTTCCCGCCCCAACCAGTGCCCACATCCGTGCTCAGGAGCTGGCAAAACCTCTTGAGCCTGTGGGCACTGTGAGGTACCACCACAGGAGCTTTCCTTTGGGTGACATCTCTCCACCCTCCCCCAGCAGCTCTATAGCAATGGTACCTCAGCCAAAGTGCCTGCAGCTGGGAAGGTCTCCCCATCCTAACTCACGGGTCTGATGCAGGAAAAAGGGAGTGAAAAAAGCTGCCAATCCCTGAGCTCCCCAAGCTCAGGACTTGAAATACCACTGATCATCACTCTGGAAACCTCTGGCCTGAAAAGCTTGGGCCCCTAAAAAAAATGCTATAAGCCCTGCCCTTTGTTCAGTTCCCTGCTGTCCTCCCCTGGGAGCAGGGGCAGCCAACCCTGGATTCATCCCTCCACACCCTAGAGCCTCCCAATAAATCTCTTTTATGAGATTTGTTTCTTCATTGGAAAAAGCCAAGAAGCAATGAAAAGAAGACAGAAGGAAGTGGAGCAGCCCTGAGACTCCTGAGCTCCCCTGGGAGCAGCAATGCCTCTGCTGAGGAGGCTTCCTCTCAGAGCTGCATTCCTGGATCAGGATGCCCTTCCACTGGAATATCTTCTCCCCTCACACCTGTGTGGTTCCTGAGTTCCCATGTCTTAGAATGCCATCCCACTGGAACACTGTCCCACCTCAAAGCTATGTGATTTCTGGGCTTCTGAGTCCCTGGGTCAGGATACCCTTCCACCTGAGCAGGAAGGCCAACACAAAAGAATACTTGGCACCGAGCCTAGCAGACAGCAACCCCACATGTCAACGCTGATGGAGTAACCCCAGAGCAAGGAGGTGTGACATACAGGAGGTGAGCACCTTTGGACACTTCTGCTCTGGAATTACACTTCAGCTCAGAGTTACCTGGTCTTCACCAACCTCTCACAATGGTCTTGGCCTTTCAAAACTGAAAAGATGAGGAGTAGGGATGGAGACTAAACAGTTCACACTAACTGCTTAGTAAAGAGTCACTAAAATGTGTTACTAGAAATAAGACCTCCCTTTTACATTATAGTACTTCATAGACCAGAAGTTTCAAGAAACTACAGGACATGTAGTTTCTACAGCCAGCCCAACCCCTCTTGTCCCACACTTGAAGACTCTTGCTGCTTCCCAGACCCTCTGCTTCATTTAGGCAGATGGTCTTGAATCTGGCTAAAACACATCTAACTGCCCTGGAAGCAAGGACTTACTCTAACCTATCTGGCAAGTTAGTTGTGACTTTCCTGCAAAACTACAGGATGAAACTTGGTTAAGGCCTCACGTGGCCTATCTAGTTCCTTGGAGATGAATAAACTTCAAAAGCTCTTTCTTGAAAAATTGGGGCAGGGAGTGAGGGGAGTAAACCAGCAGGAATGACCATAAATGTCACCACAACTGCTAAGTCCTTCAGAACATTTTGATGGCCAAAGGTCAGCCTCAACTACCTTCAGTATGTCAGAGAATCTACTGGGAAATGACTGAGTCAGGGAGATGCCTGCCTCTCAACTGAAGCTTTTTCTTTTAAATGGTTTTGGATTTTGTTGTGGTGGTTTTGTTTTAAGACAGTATTTCCTTGTGTAACATAGCTCTGGCTGTCCTGGACCCGTTTTGTAGACCAACCAGGCTGGCCTTGAACTCAGAGATCCACCTGCCTCTGCTTCCCCAGTGCTGGCAGTAAAGGTATGTGACACCACGCTCAGCTTTAACAGCAGTTTTAAAGCAGATTCAAAAGAAAGCCTCATATAGAATACTTTCAGAAGTCAAAGCAATAAACTTAGAGAAGGTAATTTGAACTAGCACCTACAACCTGGTATAGCATAACAGACTACACAAGTTTACATTTTTCCTTTAAATTATTAAGAACCTTCCATTTCTATCATATCCAAGACTATAATGCTTTCATCTGGAATCAGAATTTCAGATACCATTTTAACTAAATACTAATCTCACTAATTTAAAGAGCCCTGGTACCATGGAAATTGGGTTCCATACTTTACATTTGACAAAATGCTTCTATGACCTGAATCATGGGATTATTAGTGAAACAAAGCTATACAGATTAAGTTTTCAAAAACTTCAATTTGCTAATATTCCCTATGAAAAACATTTTTCTATAATCTACATATTTATCTTTGAATGTGTTTTTCCCCTCCAGTGCGCACAATTTCGTGGCATTAGGAAGCAAATGTGAGGTTACATAATGTATCCACCATGTGATTTTTCCAACAGGGGCTCCAAAAGGGAGAGTGAGTCTCCCTAAGGCACCAACAGTGCTGGGCCAGGCAGCTGCAGCGCTCAAAGGGGCACCTTGAGATATTTTAAACTCTCAAGGGAAACAACTTCCTCCACACAGAGCAGGCTGCTGTCAAGCTGTGCATACGTGACTACTTAATGCATCGAAGAGCTGAGTATTTATTCTCGTGGCCCAAGGGAATTATGATTCTGTTTGGGACCCTCTGCCCCAGGCATTCCCATCATGGTCTGGCTAGAAATGAAGCAGGGTTAACCCTGCCTTGGGAGTGATGTCTAGTATGGAACGACTCTTTCCTGTCTTCACTCTGAGCAGAATTTGTGAAAGCTTGAATCTGAACAGCATGTGTATTGTTCTGGAAAAGGAGAAGGGACATGTTTATTTTCTAACAAGAGCCCTAGCATATTTCCACAAAGGTCAACATGAATTTATCTAGCCTGGGAGAAGAGCCATCTGGCCCAATACTTAATAGGAAGTGAAAACCAGGCATGACATGTTATTATGTCGATGTTGATGCCCAATGCTGATATGAGCAAAGGGGAAACTTACGTCGATATGCGTCATGAAAAACTAGATCACTCCAACCATTCAGGTCTCTGAGGCAGGCACCAGCACATTTGGTTTTTAAATTACAATGCCAACATTACCCCACCCCAACTTCTTGACAAAACAATTCTCAAGGTCCATACTATGGTATGGTCTCCAGATATCATTTTTCCACTAGCACCCCACCGCATCTCCTCTTTGGAGAAATGGCGGATCACGGATGTGGTGTAGAAAATGTAAAAGCCTAGAGAGCAAAGCCACTCACGAGCTACTGACAGGCTCCAACTGGTCAAGGATGGTCTGTCTTGAGCATCCAGTGGAAGCCAGGCTGCAACCTCTGGGAACAGCACAGGAGTGTTTTGCAAATGGAGCTCCTTACAGTGAGGCCCTCTGAAGACTCCTGCCCACTTGGCAAGGCCCTGTGGAGGCATTGCAGCAGACCCCGTCTAGCTTTCACTATGTTTATGCTTATGATAATTCTTAATTTTGCAGCTAAGTTTACTGGAAACAGAAGCCCTTGAATAAGTCTTTGATAATTTTTCTCAAGTTTCTACATGAAAACTTTGCAGTCTATCACCTAAAAAATACTATCCTAGCTAGGCTACCATACTCTCTGCTGACTACAAAAATATAAAAACAACATAGTGTTAAAGACTAGTCAGAGGGCTTAAATATCTTTCATATTTCTGTAGCCGCATGTCTGCTGCTGGCCTGAGCACAGTAAACTGGATGTCCCTTGCAATACAATAAAACTTATGCTTAGATATGACGTAAACATTAACTAAAGATACAACAAGGTAGTGGGGAAGAGGAAAGGAAACTAGGATGGGTAAATGTTAATGATTCCTGGAAAATGAGTAAAGAGATGAATTGAAACTGCTCATGTTTGAATGATTTAGAACTTGTACAAATAAAGACGGCTCAAGCTATGTGAGCCAGCTGTTTGAAAGACAACCAGTGGTCAGACTCATTTCACCCACTCCACACATCCATCCTGCGGCCCAGAACTCAGCTGGAGCTGAACTCCCGCAAGCATCAGTGCATAAACTGTGATGTGTTTAGAAAAAGCATCTGTTTCCCCTCTCTAAAGATACAGAACAGGTACAGAAAATAAGTTTCATTTAGGATATTTACACACTTTATCAAAATGCATGTAATATCTCCACTTCTTCAATATTGTTGTTTGGATGTTATGTATTTATGTACACTGATTGTTTTGGCTGTGTGTGTCTGTGGATCTGTACATAGCTATGGAGAAGTCAGATCAACTGGAACTCTAGTTACAGGTTGTTACAAGGCACCATGTGGTGCTAGGAACTGAGCCTGGGTCCTCTGGAATAGCAGCCAATGCTCTTAACTGCTGAACCATCTGTCCAGCCCATTTTGTTGTTTTTGTTTTAGTTTGGTTTTGTCCCTGTTTTCTGAGGTTCAGTTATTATCTGTGTTGTGGTTTGGATGTGAAATGCCCTGGGAGACCCCTCCCCCACCAAGACTCACTTGGTCCCCAGCTAGTGGATCCATTCACTGAAGCAACTGGGGATCAATGGATGATACCTGGTCAACGGATGAACCTATTGATGAGTTCATAAACTGATGGCATTAGTGGGGCTTACTCAGAGGTGAGTGGGTCACCGGGCACCCACTCTGTTGTGGGTGGGGGTCTCTGTTGTGCTGCTTGGCTGCTCTGAAGTGAGCAACCTCTTCCTCCACTGGGTCTGCAGCTGTGATTTCTTCCTGTCTTACCACAAGGTAATGGAACAAGCCCAATCACATGGCAGATGTCTAAAATAGGACCAAGCACCCTCTCTTCTAAGTCATTTTTTTTCCAGTTATCTGTCACACTGACCAAAAACACAAAACAAAACAATCCCACCAATCCTACAACTTGGTTTGCTCTCTGGAGACCACACAAGTGACAAACATATCTAGGCAGTGGTGTACACCTTTAGTCCTAGCACTCAGGAGGCAGAGGCAGGTAGATCTCTGTGAATTTAAGAACAGCCTGGTTTACAGAGCTAGTTCCAGGACAGACAGGGCTACGCAGAGAAACCCTGTCACAAAACCCCAAGGCACATGCCTCAGATACAGCAGGAAGTAGCAAACACTAAGAAGCAGGCACCATCTCACAGAGGTGGGCAGGGGAGGCCTCACCTTTGGTGATATCACACTTACTGTAGTGTCATTGCTAGTAACATAAACCAGAACATCAGAGGCATTCCTGCCGTTGATATATCGGTAGCAGCTCCAGACACAGCTGATCAAGTAGCCCTGCAGAGAAAAGTCACCAGATTTTCAATTTCCAAAATTAAAGCCTTAAAACATTACAAAGTCACATTATGAAGGTTGTATTTACATACACACGTTACTGAACATAATGTATTAAAAACTGCAGATGTTGGGTATAGTAGCTTTCTGGCAAGTTGTGCATTGGCACAGCCTTGTTCTGTCACAGCACACCAGAGGGCGGGACTGATAGTAGGGTGGGGTGGGGTTAGGGATAGGAGGGCTCACCTAAGAAGTGGGCCGTTAAAAAACAAAACAAGGGCTATAAACATTAGTCAAAATTTATTAAACTATTTATCGCTGTACTACTTATTCTTTGGCAAGAGGTGAGCCAAACTTACTGTGTAGCCCAGGCTAGCCAAGCTTCTGCTTAGCACCCTGATTTCCGGTATTAGAGGAATGTACTTTTTAACTGTTTTTATTCTACAGGATTATCTGACTTTATTATACCATGTTCAAAATGAAGTATATAAAAGTAGGATTACCACCCAGAAGAATAATTTGCCAGAAGAGATGCATGAGAGACCTTAGATCAGAACTCAATTATTTTAAAATGCCTCCCTAGTTTCAACATTCTTTGACTAAAAAAAAAAAAAAGGTTAAAGAGAGAAAGAAAACAGAAACTTCACACTGCTGGTTACAATGTAAAACAGTATAGCCCCAAGTTTCAATCAGGTCACTGCAGGACCACAGCCCTACCCTAGGGACACACATGTCCACACAGACTTTATGTGGGAATAGAAAAAGCAGCATTGTTCATCACAGCCATCACGGCAGCCACTGGATACTTGTCATGTGCTGGATGGACCCGTGGCTCTGGTGTCATGACACAGCACTGACTGTAACTGTCCAGGTGAGTGTGGTCAGCCTCACATAGCTAGGTCAGCTATGAAAAGGGAACCTCAGCTGAAAAAATGCCTCCGTTAGATTGGCCTGTAGGCACACTGTGGGCATTTTTCTTAAGGAGTGACTGATGTGGCAGGGTGGCAACCCTGGTCTTGCGTTGTATGAAAAAGGAAGCTGATCAAGCAATGGAGAAAGCCAGTGAGCAGTGTCCATGCACGGTCCCTGCCTTGGCCTCCCTCCACAGACCCTGACTGTAGAATGTAAAGCAAATAAACCCTTTCTTTCTCCAAGTTGCTTCTGGTCATGGTCTCTATCATAGTAATAGAAAGCAAATCAGGGCAGCAACCTATGGGGGGATTGGGGGGAAGCCATCCGCAAAGACCAACTCAAAGCTTGATGTAAAGTGTCTACAGTACATGGAGTAGTGGTGGCAGACACTTTTTTTTTTTCTTTTTAGTTACATTTTGTTAACTCTGTGTCCCAGCTGTATCCCGCTCCCTCATTCCCTCCCCAACCCCACACTCCCTCCCTGGTCTCCTCCCTGCCCCTTTCCAAGTCCACTGATAGGGGAGGACCTCCTCCCCTTTCATTTGACCCTGTTTTATCAGGTATCTTCAGGGCTGGCTGCAAAGTCCTCCTCTGTGGCCTAACAGACTGCTCCTCCCCTGGAGGGGGGAGGGGTCAAACATCCGTGGCAGACACTTTTAATCCCAGCACTTGGGAGGCAGAGGCAGGCCTGATCTATACATCAAGTTTTGCAACAGGCAGGGCTACACAGAAAAACCGTGTCTCAAAAAATATATATATCTGAACTTACACACTATGTGCAACACAAGAGCTATGGCTCCGCATTCCTGTAAACGCACTAAAAACACTGACATGCATTTCTTTTAATAACATTTATTTATTTAGTGTATGTGTGTGTGTAGACACAGGTTTACTTGCAAAACCCACACTCACGTCTATGTGCATGTGACACTGGGCATGTGATCAGAGGATAACTTTTGGGAACACACTACGTGGGTTCTGGAAGCTGAACTTAGATCAGACCACCAACCTTGGTGACAAGAACCTTTACCCACTAAGCAATCTTATCAGCCCATGTTAAATGGTTGAATTTTGTTACATGGATTGTAGCTCAATTGAATGTTCACATTTGTTATGTTTATTCAAATACTTATATATAATGTTTGTGATATTATACTAAAAACATACACACTGTAATGCACAATGCAGTATTATATACTATGTTATCTACATAGTATATAATTTTTTATTTTATGTGTATGGATGTTTTGCCTGTGTATATATCTGTGCACCATGTGTATGCCTGGTACCACAGACATCAGAAGAGGCTGTCAAGTCCCCTGGAACTGGAATTAAGATGGCTGTGAGCCACCATGTGGGGGCTGGGAATAGAACTTGAGTCCTGTGGAAGAACAACAAGTGCTCATACCCACTCAAGAATCTCTCCTTGACTGGCCTACAGAAGTCGGGTTCTTATTTCTCTTTCACATAGACAGCAGAATAAACTGTAATGTTAGGAAATCAAGAAGCAATGAACTAATTATTTTGTTTATCTCTTTTGCATTCAGGAATACATTTAATATTTAGTCCACAAGGAGAATATCCATGCTTACCTTAAATGTCAAGATAATGCTGATAAAGAGAAGAATAATAAGGACTAAACATGTAGGATTCACTGACATTATATCATCTCTGTAGGGAAAGCTCGGGGGCTGAAAGGGAAAGGTCCTTCATTAGCAAACCTCATTCATCTTTCAAGATATATTCCACAGGCAGCAGTTCAGAGTGCACATGAGAGGAGGTGGCTGCTATTTAGGAGATACACACAATTCTCCTACCTCTACCCATGAGATAGCAACAGTGAGTCAGGGAGAGCCAACATGGACTGAACACAGGCAATAACTAGCTCCAGCAAAGGAGAGTCAGAAGGAGAGCCATAGCAAGATGGGAGACACCACTCAGTCCTCCCACTGCACCCTGGGAGTCAGTCTACCTTGTGTGGTTCTTTCTACACTTCCAGTGTTTTGACTGGGTAGTGCATTCTTGATTTTTTTCAAGTTCTGGGTACCCTACATGGTGTGTGCACGGAGGACAAACCAATTGAAATGAATGTTGGCTATCAGCACATCTTTCTAGATAGCAGATTCTCTTCCCTGTTTGTTTTACTTTGTAAACAATGACAATGAATCACAGGGTTAAAACGCACACACACAGTTATTTAACTGTTTTACAGGACTCCGGCTTCGGTCGCCTGCGGCCCTCTCAGATACTGCCTTTCTAGCCCACTCTGTTTCAATTTGTCAGCAGTGACATCGGGAGATCCCCTTTCATTGCTGTCTCTAGGCACTGCTGATAACGTACCCAATCTGCTACTACAGTCCAGACTGATCTGGTTTTTGTACATTTTGTGGAAACAGGTTCTAAGTAGCCCAGGCTGACTGTGGACATGTCCCTCACCCTCAGCCTTCTAGGTGTTGGGACTGTAGGTGTGGGGCACCATGCCCCGCTCAGAATGACCATTAAATAACAGAATTTTTTTTTCTTTTTTTTTTTGATTTATTTATTATTTATACAGTTTTCTGCCTGCAGGCCAGAAGAGAACACCAGATCTCATTATGGATGGTTATGAGCCACAATGTGGTTTCTGGGAAGTGAACTCAGGACCTTTGAAAACAGTCAGTGCTCTTAATCTCTGAGCCATCTCTCTAGCTCCCCATTTTTTTTCTTTTTGAAGGTATTAGGAAGTCAAAACAGGGTCACATGTAACCCAGGCTGGTCTCAAATTCACTATGTAGATAAGGATAACCTTGAACTCTGACCTTGAACTTCTGCCACCTCACAGGGCTTCCTGAAATATTTCACTTTGGTTTGTCATTACAAATAAAAGTGAAAGCTGATTTTTCTTTTTACAGCATTATAATGTCTGCCAGTGCCAACGATATTGTCATTGTACTACAGGATGGCTCAAAGTGAACAAATGGAGAGTAGCAGAACAAGGTAAGGTTCAAAAGGAAGCCACTGAATAAATATATAAAAATATATATGTACATATACATATATGCCTCCTGCATGTTGGGCTATATGTGACTGTCAAGCTGTGCGGCCCACGGAATGTGATACACACTGTGATGCACCACTCACAGCACAGGGCCGCTACTGGCCCTGTGTTTTCCATGTGCTCTTACTGTCACCACCAGTGCAGCCCCACAGATGACAAGCTGCTGAGACTGACTTTCTTCCTCACTGCCAGCATAATTTGAGGAACCCAGCAATGTAGACATTCTAAGGAGCAGAACCTTGGGACCTTCCGTGCCGGGAATAGCAGCAGGTCAGAGCATGACTGTCTCCTCTCCCTCCTCCTCAGCTATCCTTTCCACTGGACCATCTGGTTCCCAATGTCACATCCTCACCTCTCATCCTAGCACCCTGGTCCTCACCCTGAGTTCAGAGACCACTACAAAGGCTCCATAAAGTGAGCATACTGGCCCAGTATGAAATCCAAGGGATCAGGGAGTGGGCTCAGGCAGGAGGCCAAGCTGGCAACTCAGCAAGACCTGGTCTCAAAATGAAATTCTAAAATGAGAGACCCTGGGTTTGATCCTTATACCGCCTTTGAAAAAAAAAAAAAAAGAAAAAAAAAAAAGAGCTGGAGGGATGGCTCAGCGGTTAAGAGCACCGACTACGGCAGCTCACAACTGTCTGTAACTTCAAGATTCAACACCTTCACACAGACACAGACATGCAGGCAAAATACCAATGCACATAAAAGTAAATAAGATTAATAATAATAATAAAATTATATAGAAAGAACATTCAAGAGTGAACATTTTAGTGGTGTGGTTGGTGGCAAGGCACATGCCTTTAGTCCCAGCATTCAGGAGGCAGAGGGAGGTGGATCTCTGAGTTCAAGGCCAGCCTGGTCTGCAGAATGAGCTCCATGACATTCAGGGCTACCTAGTGAAATCCTGTCTCAAAAAAAAACAACACACACAAAAAGCGCACACATACAAAAGAGTGAACATCTTGCCATTTAAACAAATTTAAAGAAATTGCATTTTATGACACAATGACAATCTTAAAAATCCAAGGTTAAAAAGAGCAAGGGCCCAAAAAATTATTTGATCTAATGCTGGTAAAAGCTCCTTAACACCCAGCCACCAACACTTACTTACATGTCCATAAAGGACTTAACAAAATAGCAAAATAGCATCCATTGCTGACACCTGAGCACACAGTACCGGGATTCTTGGTAGACACAGGAAATGCCATCACTGCCCTCTGTGTCTTGCCTCCTGCAGTTTCCAGGAGGTTCTAATGAAAAGCACTCTGGAAAATCAGACCACCCACCTTTCAGAGAACAATCTTACCAGCTGCAAGTTTAAGATCTAATAATGTGTGTGCCCCTCGATAATGTTCTGTCCTTTACTTATCAGGCACCCCAGGACAAGAAGCACCAAGCAGAGGGCACCTACCAGCTGCCGTATGTACTCCTGAATAGAGTTTGGGTAGACAAGCACGGTGATTGCAACCAGAGTATTCAGGGCAAAGTCAAAGATCTGGTAGCAAAAGAATGGGATGATCCAAGCAGCATGTTGCTAAACATGAGAAAACAGAATGTTAATGTATTGGATGTAACAAGACATAAACAAGTTCACCAGTGAAGGGACCCAGAGGAGCCTGACCATGATGGCAACTGGCACGCCATGCAGAAGCAGTTAAGAAACAAAAATACCAATTGTTCATGATATCGGTTTTACTGGTATCATGAGGAAGTAGTGAGAAATTTCTGAAGATTCTTGCAGAAACTATGAGTAACTCCATTCTCAGTACAGGTAATCTGAAGTTATGCTAGTACAGCAGCATAACTGTACATGCTGTGGGCCACAACCCCTTTGGGGGTCGAACAACCTTTTCATAGGGGTCGCCTAAGACCACTGGAAAATACAGACATTTACATTACGATTCATAACATTAGCAAAATTACAGTTATGAAGTAGCAATGAGAATAATTGTATGGCTGCGGTCACCACAACATGAGGAACTGCATTAAAGGGCCGCAGCATTAGGAAGGGTAAGAACCGCTGCTCTAAGGAAGGGCCTGAAGAAAGGCCTAGCACCCCACTGCAGCCACTTACCTTATACGCTCCATAAGTAGCCATTGCACATATCAGTATCATGAGGAGAGAGATTGCGATCGCAATGCACATGTCTGAGAAAAGGTCCAAAAAGAGGAGTAGGGGTGTGGGGAGGGGGGCGACAACCATTAGATCCACTACTAAGCATGCTGAGCTTCTCTTCATTTCGTTTATAAACCAATTATAGGTGAAAACTTTATGCCAGATCAACCAGAGCTAACAAGTGCCCAGCTGATGTTGTCACTAAATTCGAAGTGACTACATGATTGCAAATAGGCAGAGCTGCTGGTCACAGATACCAAACCTGGCCTTCTAGGGCACTAGCTGCGATCATTCTACAATCATACAGGTGTCTGTTTGTATTTAAAGCTCCTGGGTAAATTAAAGCTTTCCCATACTTTTTGTACTCACCTATTTTTTGTCTAAGATTTATTTATTATATGAGCAATGTTACATCTGCATGTACACCTCCACGCCAGAAAAGGGCACACATCTCATTACAGATGATTATGAGCCACCATGTGGTTGCTGGGAATTGAACTCAGGACCTCTGGAAGAGCAGCCAGTGCTCTTAACCTTTGAGCCACCTCTCTAGCCAATCCCCTTACTCATGTACTCATGTTAAAAATCTCAGTTTCTTTTCAAGACTTTAATATTCCAATTTATTCTAAAGCAATTTCACCTTTCATCTAACTTCTCGCTTATCTCACATCACCTAACTAGGCTCAAAAACCATTAAATGCCTTATAACTTCAGTTTCCTTCATTTTTTTCATATGATCCAAATCCCCACTTTAATGAAATAGGTCCCAGGTAAAATCACCTCTTTGGAAAGATTCCCTCAGCATTCCAGATGGCGCGGTCACTGTGCCCTCCCTCACGTGGAATTATCGTTATAACACGCATCACCATTAACTTTATTCTAGCTGGTATCGGTGACTGTTGGTTCCTACCCAAGTAAGAAGACATGACACTGCTGGCTACCACCATCTAGGTGAGGGGTGGCCCCTGTAGCAGCAGCACACGGCACCGGGACCCAGGCTGAGAAGCTCTGTAAGAAGAACACACTCGAACCTTCCAGGCTCACTTCAGAATATAAAATACATCCATGCCATTTATACTGATTACGAGAATTACAATTAATCTCGGTTTTTTTTTTTTTTTCTTTTCATGATGTGGCTACTAGAAATGGACACATTCACATATTCTGACTGAACCATGCTGATCTGGAATGATGCCCGTGTCAAGGAAGGTACTAGCTGAACACATATCTACTCAGGAATTTGTGTCCCTAGCTGCTGACTCCTGATGCTGAGATGGCAGTGAAGTAGCTGCACTCGATGGTTTTCAGTAATGGTTTATTCCTTCTGGCTCAAGGAGACGTTTTTTCTTACTGACAGAGTATAAATAGAAGGAGGGCTCGGGGTTGCAGGCCCTTCTGAGAGCAAAGACTGCACTGTGACTAATTCTGCCACAGGAGTTAATCTTGATAGCCAGCTTGACTGGACAGAGAAGGCCTGGATTAGCCAAGCACATTGTTTCTGTAAGAGTGTTTCTGGAATGCTAAATAAGAGGAAAGGCCCCACATAGGCTGAGGCCCCCAACACATCTGTTCCCACCCCTTTGCAGCTGCTCATAATGGACTAAATGCCCTGAACTGTAAGGAAAGGAGATGGGGGAGGGGAAGGAGAGAAACTTCCTGTATATTTAATAAGAAAAAATAATTTTATGAAAACCAGGCCATTATAGGATTTTCTTTGACTATTTCAAGATCTTCAGGGATATAGACAATAAATATACAAATAAATTCAAACTTTTATTCAAGAAATGAAAATATTAATATGCACCACACAAAGAACCTTAATGACTGTGTGTGCTATGGGGGTAGAGGGGCACACTCCAGAACTGACCTTGATAGTAACAATTTCAAACTTCGTGACTTGTATTTTTATTAAGGAACATAAAACCCAAAGAAATTTAAAAGGCACAAATAAAAGCCATGAAATGAAGTACACTATTAGCACTCATAAAAGTGAGACATGAGGAAAATTTGGAAATCCCCCTTCCTAGCAGCTATTCTGTACAAACTGGCCACATCCCAAGCACATGAAGCAGCTGATGAACATCCAACTGTAAATCAGAACACAGAGCAGGCAGGACGAAAGCATGCTGCTACGTCCAGTAACCCACAGCATCTGCCAACCCCACAGAAATAATGCAATCTAGTCGGTAAAGAAGGGTTAATCTTGGGGAGGGGGAGGGAATGAGGGAGCGGGATACAGCTGGGACACAGAGTTAACAAATTATAACTAAAAATAAAAATAAAATAAAAAAAAAGAGAGAGAGAGAAAAAAAAAAAAGAAGGGTTAGTCTGTGGAATTCAAGTGCATCCCTTCCTAGGATTCACAGGACAGCTCAGGGGTAGAGCATCTGTCTAACCTGAGCAAGGCCCTGGGGTTCAGTCCCTAGCATGAAAAGTCAACTGCCAGTTGACACTACTACTAAAAGGGGATTTTAGGATCAATCGCTCTGGCCAATGCCAGCACTATTTTTTGCACAGTAACATCTCCACCTCAACATCGGAGCACAGTGACATCAGTTTCTTGAATTCAATGTTGGTTTAATAATGCAGTTCTCCTTTGAAAAGGATCCTGGGCAAAGCTATACATCAGGTACAACAGGCATAATCAGAAAATGTTTCCTCAATTCAATTAGTTGCTGAGACAGAACAGGCACATAAAAGCTACCCGAAATGCCTGTGTTGAATCAGCTAATTTTGTTCCCCCAACCTCACAGGCTGCTCACTCCTCAGCAGGCTTGCAGCTAACTCCAACACCTATCGGATTCAAGTTTAGTCAGATTCATTTACATCTAGATCGTCTCTAGTTTCTGGCCACATTGGTGGCCCCACAGCACATGAAAACAAACAGTATTAGTTATCACCAAGTACAGGAAAATATTTTCAGTTGAGCTCTCAACAGTATGTAGCTACTCAGAGCAAAATGCAGAGCCCTCAAACCCCAGAGTGAAGACCAGAAAACCCAGGTCCTGCTTCAGGAGCTCCATCCTGAGGCTCAGAGGCTGGGAAGAACAAGCAGTGAAATACTAATTTTATTCCTCTAAAACACAAAGGTCAAATACTCGTAATCTGCTGATGTTTATCGAAATAAAAAATTCACCCCAAAGAGGACTTTTATAACTTGATAACTTCTGCTTTTATGTTTAAACCTAATGTTTACATAATGAATACTGGTGGGTTTACTCTAGTTTATGATAAGATGCAAACACTAACAGGATGCTATCCTTGTTATGAAGCTGATAATTAGCTATTATGGACAGGGGAAAAAATGGAGGAATTCTGGAACGATGAGGGCAACCAAAGCTCCAGGTCAGCCTGGGTGACAAGAGTGGGAACCTGTCTCAAAAATAAAGCAAAAAGCAAGCCAACATAAAGAGAACCCAAATACCATTAACAAGTGCACACTTGACTTTTCTGTTAAGTATAGAGGAACATGGACCTGGCAGTACAGATGGGTATGTAATCCCAGCTACATTGGAGCTCACACAGGAGGCTCTTTGCCACTTCGAGACCTGCCAGGGTCACTGACCAACAACCTGCTTCCCACAAAACATGCAAAAACAAAGGGGCTGGGGCTATGTAGCTCTGGGATAGTGTTCACCTAGTGTGTGGTACATGGCCCTGGTAACAAGCTCAACCCCATCAACTAAATAAATACAAAAAAGGGGCTGGACAGATGACTCAGAGGTTAAGAACACAGGCTGCTCTTCCTAAGGTCCTGAGTTCAATTCCCAGAAACCACATGGTGGCTCACACTAGCTATGAGATCTGATGCCCTCTTCTGGTGATCAGGCACACATGCAGGCAGAATGTTATATAAAGAACAAATAAATGTAAATAAATAAGTAAATACAAAGATGAGGAAGGGGTAGATGGATGGATGGAAAACAAAACAAAACCAAAAACCCTACCTTACACTGAATCTGCAAAATTTTCACAATGTAACATTCAGACTTCAAAAACATTAAAGCATAATCAGTAACAACAACAAGGCCTTGGTACCAAGCAATGCAGAACAGTGTTAGAGACCTGAGCTCATCTAGTTCCTAAGCAGTTGTTGGCAAACATAAGAGCACAAAGCTGTCAAACATTCTCTAAGTTCCATGAATCTTAAGAGTTCAATACACACACCAAGTGGTTGTGGCTCATGCCTTTAATCTTAGTACTCAGGGTGCAGAAGTAGATGAGTCTGAATTCAAGGCCAGCCAAGTCTACAGACCGAGTTCTGGAAGAGTTAGGGCTATACAGAAATACCCTGTCTCAAAAACAGAACGTTCAATACAGTCAGCAAAAGTTACGACAGACACTTGGCACCACACCTGGCGTTTTAGTATCTCGCACAGGTGAGGCAGACAGGGATGGTCAGACAAAACACCCGGACACAGCTGCACCTGTAGGAGTATCTCCATGGCCACAAGATGCTTTCTTCATGTCTCCAAATTCACCCTCCCCATGCTACTCTCTGCCCACGAAGACCTGTATGGTTAGCGACCTAGCTGCCTTTCTGTTGCTGTGATAGAACACTTTAACAAAAAGCAACTTTGGGGGAGGAGGGCTCCTTTGGCTTACACTACCAGGTCACAGTCCATTAGCAAAGTCAGGGCAGGAATATAAGAACTTAAATCAGGAACTTATAACCATACTTAACTAGCTTTCCTATACAGCTCAGAACCACCCACCTAGGAAACAATGCCACCCACAGTAACCTGGGCCCTCCTACATCAATTAATAACCAAGACAATCTCCTACATGCCTGCCCACAGGCCAACCTGATCTGGGCAATTCCTCAGTCAAAACTCCCTTCTCAAGTGGCTGTATCAAGCTGACAGAAAGCTAAGGACACTAACAAAACTCCTTTTGCCTCCTGTCCTTGGCTGAGGAAGAAAGACCAGACTGCCCCTTACAGGGATGGGGCTAGGGATGGAGACCCAAGGCCAAAGGTCACTTGTCTGTCCGTCAAGAAGTGGTTAACTTCAGTTCCAGGAAACACCATCTTCCAGCCTCCCTTCAGCCTAAGGCAGCAGGGTTGGCCTGACTCAGGTGGTGCCTGGTAGTCCTGTACCTACCTACAGCTTTGTGTTTTACTTGGAGGGGGAAGGTTATTCCTAGAAAATAAACATTTACCCAATTATCTTCAAAAACCAAAAGAAACTGGGCACTAGTGGCACATGCCATTAGTTCCAGCACTTGGGAGGCAAAGGCAGTTGGATCTCTGAGTTCCAGGACAGCCAGGATTATGCACAGAAACCATGCCAAGACAAAACAACAACAACAACAAAACAACAAAAACAAGCAAACAAAAAAATCCCAAAACAAATTAATCAAAATGTAGTCAAATGCCATATGCCAACTATTGAACAATGTGACTTAAAAGGTACATAGATAAATGGATTCAAGGCTGAGAATCCAACTCCATTCCATTCCTCACAGATGATTTTTGATAATATGAAACATTTATAAATTTAAAACATGTGCTTAATATTTCTTTAACAGAAATGTCTAAAAGCTAGATGGTAAAGTGAGGAAAATTTCTTTATTTTCTTTTTCCCAATGGATTCCCCAATAAAGAGGAATTTCCCTAGTCTGATCAGACCACCTGAGGAAAATTACCACATGGCAAAATCTTCAGGCATATAGCTAACCAGCACTCAAAGAGACAGCAACATGAGCTGGGTCACAGCTCAGTAGGTAGTATTCTAGCACAAGGCTCTAGGTTTGGTCTTTAGAACCACTATGGAGTTAAAGCCATGCATGCTGGTACGTATCTGTAGCAGGAAAATCAGAAGTTCAAGTTTATCCTAGACTACAATGTTGACTATGTAAGATGTCACCCTCCCACATGTGCATGTGTGTTTCTGTGTGTGTGCATACACACAAAGGATCTTAAAAAAAAAGGATTTGTTTACGGGTGTTTTGCCTGTATGCCTGTATGTATATTTGTGTACCACATGTGGACGGAAGGCCAGAAAAGGGCATCAAATCCTCTGAAACTGGAGTTACATATGGTTATAAGCTAGTAGGTATACGCTGGGAGCCAAATCCAGATCCTCTGGAAGAGCAACAAGTATTTTTAACCCTAGGCCATCTTCCCAGTACCAAAATAGCTCTATTAACTTACAGAATTTTCAATCATAATTATGCAACTGACTGAACCAAATATCATTATTTGGTTTATTATTGGATTATTTAATTCTATCTATGCAAGTGGTACAGGCCTCTGACCTACAAATTTATTTACTGTCCTGCTCCACCTTTGTAGTACTGAGGACCAAAACATGAACACCCAGGAAAGCACTCTACCAGTGAGCTTCATTCTCAGCCTTGTATTTAAAAACAAGCTGCATTAAGCTGTTGACCAGTCAGGCTCCAATGATGCAATCTTTCTGCCTCAGCCTTCTGAGTCGCTACAATTACCAATCTGAGTCTCCAGGCCCATATTCTATAGTCTATATGAATATAGAAACAAGAATAAATGGTTAAATATACAAGACACCTGTTTCTTAGAAAAATCCTGACATAAAAAACACATAATGTACATTTGAAATAAGAAAAAGTTAAAACTGATTTGAAATCATTGTGAGACAAAGTTTTATTATTATTAAACTTATAATAAAAAAGTATCTCATTAGATATTAGGATCAATAGTCCTATTGTAACTCCCTTTTTATGTAACGATTGTATATTTTTGAATGAGGTAATTTTTCCATCCATACAGAACCTTTGCATTAGGTTGTATAAAAACCAAAAATAGAATTAAACAGTTGTTGAGGCCACCTGCTTCATCCAAAACTTTGTCTGTTGATATGTCTAATTGTCTGTATATATTATTGTCTATATGTATATATTTACATACATGTAGATGAATGGTGTTTTGGGGAGCTCCCGTTTTGTCTATTGATTATATGTGTACATGTGTTAGTATGTGTGCCAAATGTATATGCTTTAACATGCTTCTAAGTTTAGTAAGTGATAAGTAGTCAGGAGTGTTTTATCAACCTTCTTAATTAGGATTCCAGCTTCCAGCAAGCCGCTGTTCACTTCTAAGCCATTAAGTTAAAGGGAACTAAGGTTTCCTTTTACAACCATTTGTATTTCTAGCAAGAAATTGTCAGGGCTGTTGATTAACTGACTAAAACCCACTGTTGTTAAACAATACAAGTTTTTAGCCAGGAGCTGCTTTGGTGGCAGAGAAACTAGAAGGCCTGGATAGCTCAATAGATAAAACTTCAGACCCTGAGTCTGAAAATTCAGGTTCAACTCCCTGCTACCTCTCTTTTCCTTTCTTTAGAAGCTCTGGTGACTAGCAGGCCCCTGGGACTTAAACTGTATCTGGAGTTAAACTACACTTAGAGTTAAACTATATGTAGAGAGAACCCCAAATAGTACGGCTACCAGCTTGAAAGATTAAGAGCTAAAGTACAGAGAAAAACACCAGCCATCAGCTAGTACCCGCCATGGTTTACGCTGTGTGCAGAAGCTGGTCTCTAGCATCCTGAAAAGAAGGCAGCTCCTGGAGCCATCAGAGTTAGCCAGTGAGAGCTGTATACTTTTTCATCTTTTTCCTGATATTTGTTCATTCTCCCTTGCAAAAAGTCAAAGTCTATGGCAAAGCTGGGTGTGGTGTAGTGGCATGCATGTATAATCTCAGCACCAGAGTACACAGACAGAGGATTGGAGTTCAAGGTATAGTTTTTGCTATATCTAAAGTTTCAGGTCAGCCTAAGCCACATGAAACCCTGCTTCAAAAAGTCTGTTAGGAGCCAGGCGGTGGTGGCACACACCTTTTATCCTAGCACTCCTGGGAAGCAGATCTCTATGAGTCTGCAGGCTGCTCTACAGAGTTCCAGGACAGCCAGGGCCACGCAGAGAAACCCTGCCTCAGAAGTCTGTTAGAAAGTATTAGTGTCTAGAATGCATAAATCCCAACCTGGCACAGCAGCACACGCACCAGGCTTAGCTCTTGGGAAGGCAGAGAGGTCAGCACTGGGCAAACCACACCTGACTCCTGTATGATAAATGAGACCTGCCTCATAAAAACGGGGGAAAGGAATTCACAAAGGATGTGGAGAAGTAAGGATCTGACTCATTAAGAACAGAGGCAGAGAGCATGTGCAGCACATAAGTACCTGCTGATTTGATTTGTAATGAGTGAAAGAAAGAAACTAAAGTTAAAATAGCAGCTCAAATAGGCCCTTGAATCAATATTTGTAATTTAACAGAAAAGACAGACTCCTTGTCCCGAGAAATCCCAAAATATCACTAGATGCTGTCTGACTACTTACTGGCATCATCCATGAAATCAAATTCCCCTCCTAGCTCAGAGCCTGAAAAGTGATACTGATCAGGGTCTGCCAGGGCGCTCAGCAGGATCAGCAGGACGACAGCATTGATGATCTGCAGGGAGAAGAAAGGCACTTGAGACCCCAGGCCAGAGACTCAGATCACCCACGGTGCTTCACAGCTGCAGCTGAGTGAGCGTGCAAAATGAGATGGCTCAGTGGGTAAAGGCAGCTGTCATCAAACCGGATAATATGAATTCAATCCCCAAGGCCGACACAGGAGAATCAACTCTTCCAAGTTGTACTCTGGCCTTCATATGTGCACCTACGCACCCATATATAAATACACAAATAAATAATTGCTTTTTGAAGAGCAGTGTTGTGTGGCTCTAATTGCAGTATTGGGGAGCAAAAATGGAGAATAGGGGGTGGAGTGGGCAGGGCAGGTCCCTGATACTTATTGGTTAGTCAGTCTAGACAAACTAGGGAGTTTCAGATTCAGTGAGGGGTCTTATCTTAAAAACTGAAGGAGAACCAAAGAAAGACTAAATGTCAACCTCTGACCTCCATACATGTACAAAGTTAAGTATCATGACACACACACATACATACACTCGAACAGCAGTGTGGGAAAATAGAGTGGGAAAAGAACTACCTACCCCTAGCCTAATCTTTGACTTCTGCTGAGGACAATACCCTTCAAACCTAACACACACACATGGAAATGACCTTAACCAGCATCTTCCCCCTCTACTCATCCTTTCCTGTGATTAAAGAGGACAACACTCAGACATAGCATGAGGCACTTTATATAAAGCTTCCAAGCCCTACAAACACTCTCAAGTTAATTAGAGCATGCAAAATAATCCCCATTGTAAAAAAAGTGAGACCTAGAAGTTAAAACACTGATCAAAATCAGAAGTTGGACTGGAGAGCGAGGATCTGACTCAGGAACGTAAATCCCAAACCTAGCTTCTTCCTGGCTTCTGCTCACATGTGTAACTCATTACCTCTGGGCTTACCACCTCCCTTCTCTCCCCACACCCACCCCCAACCCCAAGTTCTGAAACATGAGGTGTTCTGTTTTACTCTTCTCAAAACAGAGGAAGGGCCTTTTACCAACATTAACTAAAGACGTATCCTATTAGCTGGAAATACTTACTCTATAGAAGAGATTCAGTCTTACTACTTGGTAAACAACCACAGCAGAATGTTTACTATGACAACATCAAATTTTTTTAGGATTGTGGAATGACTTTTTTTTCCTTTCTCTATTTTCCAAATTGTCAGATGCAGCCTGGTAAGAACAGTAATTCCTAGAATATACATGATTACTTTAAATAGATACTACAAGCTTGAGGTTAAGTGTTTGAGGGTGAGAAAGGGTCCCACTTATAAACTAGTCACTCTCCTGACATGGTTATTAATAACAGCATTTCTTGTTTTAATCTAAAGAACCAAGATATTTCACAAGACAGCAGTATGGTAACTGCAAACATGAACAATTGAAGTGATCCAAGAGACACAGTTAGATACAACCACTATAATTAAGCCAATTAAGAGTATGTGGGGGTGGGGGGTAGCAGACACCTTTAGTCCCAGCAGGTAGGCAGACCTCTGAGGACAGTTTGATCTACAGAGCAGGGTTCCAGGACAGCCAGGGACACACAGATAAACCCTGTCTTAAACACAAAAACACACACACACAAGTAAAATTAAAGACCAGACCAAGAGTTGGTGCCAAAGCTCAGGGGCACATTTTTCCCCCCCTGTGTAGCCTTGGCTGTCCTGGATTCGATTTGTAGACCAGGCTGGCTTTGAACCAGGCTGGCTTTGATCTGGCCTCTACCTCCCTGAGTGCTGGGATTAAAGGCATGTGCCACCATGACCAGCTGGTACAGCATTTTTTAAAGACAAAAACGACAGTTACGTCAAGTTCCAGGGGATTGGAGAATCTGTGTTTTTGCAGAGCTTAGCAGTATTTTCCAGACACTATATAACAGTTACTTCTGATTTACATTTTCTCTGCTCATTTTGTTTGTGTTTTAGCTTGCACAAACATTAATTAATTTGGCTATTACATGTGGACCATGGTCAGGGTCACAGTCTCAAAAGTGATGCTATGCTGGATGTGACCACTGACGGACAGAGGGCTGAGGTGCATCCAGACAGCCACAAAATGGAGAGACAAGATGCAGTTACCTTAGTCACTTCACAGTAATTCCTAACACCAGAGTGAGGACCTAAGGGTGGGGGCATGTTTCCCAGATGGTGGAGAATCCTGAAAGCCAGAACAAAATTTGGGGCTTTCTTTTGAAGTGTTCAGTCATGAGATAGGGTGTGCTTGGACAGAGCTTCTCATTAAGGAGTCCCCACCCTGGAGGCATCTGCTCACATCTCTGTGAGACTGCCACTCCGTGTTTCAGTCTGCAGTGCTGGGTATGGCAGAGGTAGGGTGTCACACACCCAGAATCCTTAGAGGCCAGGCACAAAGATAAAGGCAAGGGAAGCCAGCAAGTTCAACTTTAAACCTGAGTGAGGTGACACCTTGTCACTACCAGAAACTATGGTTATGTCAGGTAATCATGCTGCTAGCTGCTCCGCCCAGCCTCTCACACCCATGCCTGCCCTGTGTCTTCTGGCAGCTTACTGTATTTCTGCTCTCCCCTCTGAGCCTCTAACTCTCCTCATGCTTTCATGACAGCTCTATTGGTTTGGTGCATCCCCCTGTCCCTAGTATGCCCTACTGCTTTTACAATTACTCTTATTCCAAACCTTGAGCCCTGAGGCCTTCTCTGCCCCAAGCACAGTGCAGTAATTCAGATAACGACCAATGAAGGGTTGGGGTTGGTGAGGTGGCTCAGCAGGTGGAGAGGTACTTGCATCAGGACCTGATGACATGATTTGATCCCTGGCAGGAAATAATTGACTCCTGAGTTGTCCTCTGATGTACATACATACATACATACATACACACACACATATATACATACATACATATAACACATACACAAATAATTTTATTTATTTATTTATTTATTTATTTATTTGTTTATTTATTTATTTTTGGAAGAGATAAGGTCTTACTACTGGAACTACAAAGATCTACCTGGTTCCTTAGTTTTTTGGTTTTTGGGTTTTTTTGAGCAGGGTTTCTCTGTGTAGCCTTGGCTGTCTTGGACTCATTTTGTAGACCAGGCTAGCCTTGAACTCACAGTGATTCACCTGCCTCTGCCTCCCTGAGTGCTGGGATAACATGAGTGTGCCACAGTGCCCAGCTTAGTATTATTCTTAAAGAAATGGGGTAAGCTTCTTGCATATCCAAACAACTGTCAACAACAACAACAAATAAATAAATAAATAAAAGAGAGAGAGAGAAAGAGAGGGAGGGTAAGGGAGAGAGGGAGGGAGGAGAGGGAGACAGAGAGAGAGAACAGAAGAAAAAAACATACACAACTCTCACCTCAAAGGGCTAACACATTTATTCTGGAGCCAAATATGAATGACTATGACCTGAAAACACAGACTTGAGTTACTCCAAATTCCATGTTCCAGTGTGATAATAGTTTCATTAAATCTTATGACACAACAAAAACTTGCAAATCAAAACACTTATACATACATCGATGGAAAATCAGGTAGGTAGGGAATCTCAGCCGCAAGCCTCAGATGCCATCAGCCTTTGGTTGGTGGGAGCTCAGGGTTTTTTATACATTCCAAAGGATGACCTACTAGTCACAAAGATGCTAGGTTATACGGAGGTGGCTAATAAGCAGCTATTGAGGGAAGCTAAGATGGCTCTGGACTCACAGCATTCCAGCCGCCCCACACCCCTGAGGTCGTCAGCAGTAAGCCAGTCTCTCGGAGGTGATGGGAGGTGTGGCTCTTTCCAGCTCTCCTTCACACGACTCACCCCTGCTTCTTTTCTTTGAGGGGTGAGATCTTCCTAATAATCTGACTTGCCTTTCCTGTATTACTACATAAACCTCAACAGCTGGACAAGAATTTGGTACCAAGAATGGAATGAACACAGGAGTGCCACAGGGACATGGCTCAATACAAAGAGGTGGGGGTATACCTTGCCATGGCAACTATAAACATGGTCAGATGGAAGAGGCCAAATACAAGCTAAAGCCCTGAGAACACTGGGCAAGAACTTCCTGAAAGAGAAGACAGAAGACCAAGAATGAAACACACTACAAATGAGAACCACAAGAGTGCAAAGACTTGCAGGCTATGTAACGTCCACAACTAAGCTCAACCAAAAGGCCTAGCAGACACATCATGCTCTTTTGGTTAGCTTGCCTGTACTCAGGCTGTGTCTCTTTCACTGAGGTGAGTACCAAATGTTTCTGTGCTGTCAACACTTTCTTTTCTTGTACTTAACGAATATTTCCATGTGTAAGTAAATTAAACTCATGTCCAATTACTTAAGTGGTGTTAGGGCCTTGTACATTCTCCAGAGAGCTAAAGTGCTTTCAGCCTTAAATCATGTGTCAGATCTCAAACAAACTTGTAGCTTATGCTTAAAGCACCAAAAGTGTCAGCAACCTTTTTCTTCTACTATCTTTTGGGCCTCCTGGCTGCTGCACTTGTTCTTCCCTTTCACCTCTCCTTTCTCCTCCTCCCTCTCCTCCCATGGCTCAGAGTCACGTCCACTCTGGACACTGCTAGATGTCACTGCCTCTGACTATACCTCCCTTTTATTCACAACAAGCTTTCTCCTCCACCATTTAAAAAACAAAACAACTGTCAGAACTCTTCACTGAGCTGTACTCAGTGAAGCAGGGCATGGTGCTGCCATGGCCTTTGACCCCAGCAATGCGGAGGGAGGAGCAGGTGGATCTCTATATACTCTCTACATAATAAGCTCCAGGCCAGCTAGTGAGCTACATAGTGAGACTCTTGTCTTAGGAGAGAGGGAAGAACCACAATAAAAAGCCTAGAAAGTGCTTCAAGCCTAGAAAGATAGCAAACAAAAAGTCTAAATAAAATTCAGAAAGTTGAGTCCAAAAAAGAAACCAATACTGACATCTACAATAAGGAAAATTTAACACTAAATAACACTAAATAACACACACACACACACACACACACACACACACACACACACAC